CTTTTGGCCACCCATCGAACGAAGATGATCGTCAAATCGCGCGTCTTTCAGATGCACTTCTGCGGACGTCTGGAACGCTCTTCCGATATTTGGAGGCGACTGGAGCTAAGCACTTTTAAATCATCTAGATTGAAAACTCATTTCTTTAAAACTGCTTTTTGTGTTCAGTTTGTTGTCCTTCCCCCACACCTGGGTTGGCTACTTAGGGTTCGCGAAAGCCGTTCAACATCCATCCATACGAACAGCATCTGGCTCTAGCATCTGAACGCGCGTTATTTTGTTTCGCGACGTTGATAGGCATCTGGTCGGCTGGGAAGCTGGGGGCTAAGAGAGAGAGAGAGATGTAAGAAGAGACAGCGATGATAAACCTTCTCAGAGATTTCCCATCGGCAGAGTGTCGATGTCCATTTTTGCAGTCACCAAACTAAACAATGTATTTTACTTTACCAGCTAAAGCCCACTGAAATATACGTCGACTTTTTTTTTTCGGAAGCGACCTTGCCACAAATGATCACGTGGAAATTGTACAGCAGCCAAACACTCGAGAGTGGTGGTCTTCATCGCAAGGCCCACGGACCACGAGCGGCCTTTGGTGGCCTTCAGTGCGGCCCCTGACGTGCAGCTCACCGACAGTTCACAAAGAGTGAAAACACCCCCCCCCACCATCATCGTGGTGCTGCTGTCAAACCACACAATGGTTTCAAATGTGTGGCAGCCCTCACATCGATGACGTCTTGTCGGTGAAAGTGCCCACCCCCCCCCACCTAAACACATGTTTATACATGGTGGGTGAGAAAATCGAAGGATCCGCAGAAAAATCCACGTGACCACGGGGAGAAAATTCAAACTCCAAATATAGAGCAGGTGCCAGGGTTGGGATTGAACAGACAAAACCTGCACACCAGGCGAGTGAGTTAACGTCTCACCACACGCCTCGTCACTTCCTCCTCGATGTCCGCTGGAGATCAGAGATCACGCGATGGCTGAGATCCAACACACGATGATGATGACGACAACGACGACGCCGGCTGTAACCGCCAGCGACACGCCGTGCAAAATTGTCAACATTTTCCTCGCTTTTCGACATTCCTCCTCCGCTTCGCTGATTAAAACAAAATCAATTGCCACATTTGCCAAAGTGATGACTTGATTTGACTGTGCTCTTGTCAGGGTGGTGGAGGATTACAGTTGAAGAAAATTGCGTTTTACCTCCGCGATCTCGCCAGAAATAAATCAATTATGCCCGGAGCTCGCTGCCCGATTTAAACACAACGCTAAGCACGTGTCGGTCGCCATATGCAAGCGTGTCGGTGGAAGTCGCAGAGATCCACAGGGCGATCCATCTACGGATACCCCACAACTCGATGACGTCTCACGTCCTCGCCTGACACTCGGCGTGCGATTGAAGGTGCCTGAAAGCGATGGCTCCCGCGTGCTCCGGAGCGAGAGACGTCACGAGGAGCTGGACGTGCATCGACGTTCGGCAGGGGGGAGGGGTAGGGGGAGACGCATCGCACGCGTCGGTACGACGTGCTGTCTCCGCTGTGACTTCACGATAATTTAGTGGGGTGTCCGTAAGTGGATCACCCTTGACCGCTGACTTCAGCAAGCGGCCCTGAACAAGCGCACGGCCTAGTGGGGTGGATCAGTGGCGCGTCGGTTAGCGCACCGTACCCACGAATCCCCCAGAACCCGTAAGTTCGATTCCCTACCCTGGGTGACGTCAGTGGCGAGTGGTAACAACGTGGTGAAGTATGGTCAAACAACCCCCATGCCTGGGGGGATGGGTAGGTGGGGGGGTAAATCAATCGTGATTGTTACGTGGAGTTACTGGGTTTTGCCACTGAAACGTGGAATTTCCATCAGTGGCTCGGGACAGTAAACTGAAGCGAGCACTCGCTTAAATATGAATGTAAAAACAGAGCATGTGTCCGTTTTAATTATTTCGTTTGAAAATCTGACCGTATGTATGTACGTTGAACTTCTGCTAATCGGAGGTGCGGGGAAAGGACAGCTATTTAAACACACACACACAAAAACAGTTCTAGTTTTCAATCTAAATTGATTAAAAAGTACATAGCCCGAGTGACTTCCTAATATCGGAAGGGAAGAGCGTTCCAGACGGCCGCAGAAGCAAGCGCATCTGAAAGCGCCGCGCGATGCGGTGACCGCCGCTTTTCTTCGATGGCCCAGCAGCCAAAATCCTTCGCTGCTGCTGTGAGCGTAACCGGAGTTCACGCCATGGTTTTTTCGCTCCATGAGTGTGTTATGGTTCATTTGTGGCAAGCGCTCTGTGTGTGTAACGAGAACATGTGGTGGAACAACGGTGCCTTCACTTGAGTGAAAGTTTCCTTCATTTGTAGCTGCCTACAGTGGTGGTGCCTGCCGAATTTGGGGGGCTAAGCCGAAACAATTTTAGGGGCCCCCGCCCCCAACTTTTGATTTAAAACAACACCTCCCGGTGAGATAACAGCCGAGATTCGGACGGGAGATTTAGATGTGACGAAACGGGAGAGATGTCGACGAGAGAGAGAGAGCGATGTCTTGAGATGACAGCAGAGATATCACAATCAGAATATTTATTCATACCGAAGGAATCCGATGAGCTATGAAGCTCTTTTTTCACAGATGTCCAGTCGGGGTGGGGGGGGGGGGGGAGAGCAGGAAATAAACGTCATGTAGAGAAAATATAAAGACGTGATTAAATGAGAGATGTGTCTACAAGAGGCAGAGGTGTCGTGGAGTGACAGCAGAGATGTAAATTTATTTGTAGACGTGAGGATAGGTCGCGACATGATAGCCATGTGGACGAGACGTACAGATGTGTCGAGATGAGAGACGAGACGCAGCGGAGGCGGTGGTTGTGAAACGAGAGAGAGCGTGAGACGACACGAGAGAACTGCGGGCAAGAGGGGGATGGCAGCTTAATTAAAAAAAAATTACGTTTATTAGGATTTTAATTCCATTTTGCTATATTGGCTCCTTCCTGTTTTCTTCACGAATCCGTGGCCCTTGAGCTACTTGGGACCACCTGCTGTTCGCGAAATGTGTTATTGACTATCGCCACCGCTGGTACAACAGCAGCAGCATCATCCATTACACTCACGCCTCCACATTCACGAACGCGGACTGAAACCGGCGTGGTGAAGTATGGCTAAATAACCCGTGTGTGTGCGCGCGAGCAGTTTCACACGGACACACCGTGTTTTGAGTCTTTAACTCGTTCATATATACAGTTTATGTATTTGCGTGGTTGTTGGAAACTGGAGTCGCACAGAAAAACCATTCGTACGAGAAGATAGCACACACAATATGTGCACCGTTACGTTCTAAGCCTACTTGCTGTAATATATAATGAAATTAATAAACAGATTCCAGGCATCTCGCTAACCCCTCCCCCCACCCCCCAGTATATGGGAGTCTCACACATGTGATCTTAGCGTGGTCCATCAACCCCGCCTCCAAAACAGTTGAATTCCAGGCATATTATAAGAATAGGTTTTTCCCCTTTTTTCTTGCAACAAAACTGTTTTTTTTTTACAAGGAATCATGTCTGCATTAACCACAATACTTGTGATCAAATTGCAAATAAAAAAAAAACACACTCTGATAATATATGGCATTGTCCTTGCAACTCATTGGTCCACACCTAAGACAGCTTTCTTTTGAGCCTCGTTTCAATTGGTGTTAGACCAGAGGACGCCAAAAGGCGTACAGCTCAAAGACAATGCACTATCAAAGTAATGAGGGCATATTCTTTAGTATTCTGTTGTTGCGCATGATTGAAGCAATATCAGAATATTTATTTATCCTGGAGGAATCCGATAAGCCATGAAGCTAAGCGGAGCAGGTCATGACGTTACAACAATAAACAATGGACAAACACAATCGGAGTGTAAAGTATGTGCCAATGTCGAGGTCTTCTAGCCACGACGAGAAGGGTTCAAGAGAGATGATTTGTGTGCATCTCGACTTAAAGCTTTCGTGACTGCAGGAATTCATATTGTTTGGGTCTTTCGGTAACCAAAAAAATTACAAAAAACTACGACGTTTCGATCACAACTTTACCGAAAGACCCAAATAATATGATTTGCCGAAAGACCCAAATAATATGATTTGACGAAAGACCCAAAGAATATTATTTGTGTAGCTTTGATATTCCCCCTCCGTTGAAGGGGCACGGACTACAGTGGTTTACGAGAGCTACGTAACCGAAAGAAAAACTGGCTCTACGTATCTATACGTATGCATACGTACGTATAGCAAACCTCCAATTAGCAAGGTTGGCTACGTACGGTGCGAAAGAAGTTCAACATACCGTACGTACGGTCCATATACAGGCTTATACCGTACATACGGTAGTTCACGACACAAAGAGCTTATATGGCATGAGCAGTGAATTTTGACAGCACGTGGGCTGTACACCTTACCGTATTCTCCGGATTATAAGACTCTCCGGAAAGTAAGACGCACCCTCCAAACTTTTGCCCGGTTAGAATCTAGATCTGGTCACTTCCTCAACAAAGACCCCCACCGTGTGTACCCTTAAGCAGACTGTTGGGGCAAGTGCTGTTAGCGTGCGGCACTTACAATCCCCGTCACGGCGCACAAAGGGGGTGGGTGGCCAGTACCACGCCCGGCCGCCTTTGTCTCCCCAGTGGCGATGTTTACACAGAGCACCGGGTACTCGTTTAAGGCTGAGTCGCCCTAGGGGCGGCCTAGGGACCAGTTCAGATAATCGTCACTGGTGTTGGCCGTGAGCAGGAATCGCTTGCACGCACGTTAACACACAGTGACGCACCTACCGGATTGCGAGACGCTCACACATATTTTGAAACACGTGGCGTTAAAGCGCGACTTAATACATCCCGGACACGACGGTGAGTGGCGTACACACGGCAGGATGAGAGTAAGACAGAGGAGGACGACAACACGGCTTGTTGTTAAACTCGGTAACGACAGTCACACGGGAGGGGGGGGGGGGTTGGGGGGTGTCTTACCGTGGCGCGTGTTGGCTCCCTCGAGTCTCGATCTGCGCGCCACCAATCTTCGGGGGGAGATCCGGCGACTTTCGTGGGAAAGAGTTTGGAGACAGCGGGGTTCGGCAGTTAGAGAGCGGAGGAGAGAGACGCCCTCTCCCCTGGGACCCTTCAAATCTCGTGGACTCGACGACGAGAGATCGAACCGAGAACCCGCGGCGTGGCGAGACTTTGCAAACGACGGTGCAGATGCAGCGGTCGGGAATGCAGAGTCGGGAACTCTTCCGCGAATCCCAGACGGTGACTCTTCATTGAGCCTCCGGAGACCGCGGGTTCTTCAGTGTGACAGTCACAGGCCTGTTGTTCATTCTTCAGTTCAGAGGACACCGTTTTGAGATTGCGACGTACGTGGCACTCATAGGCTGTAATTTTTGAGTGAATTGAGACTGGCTCTTTTCAGTGAGAGTCACGAGGCTGTAGCTCTTCAGTTAGTGCGCTGAATTTCGTCAATATTGGTGTAGAATCCTATATTGGCGACTCGATCCCGCTGTGAGAGTCACAGACCGTGGCTTCGTGTAGAGGACTGCAACGTGGTCACCTTCAGAGTCCCGAGTCAGCGACTTCAGTTGCTGGAACTCGAGTTCCCAGACTGCGACTCGTCTTGCGATTCCTAGACTGTGACTCTCCCTTCGGAGTGAGTCTCTCAAGGACTCCCCACTGGACTCCCCATTGTTCCCGGACCGCTTTATCTCACAACAAAGCAAAGACAAAGATGCCCGTGTAGCCTTAACAGACTGCTGGGGCAAGTGCTGTTGGCGAGTAGCACCTATAAAGGCCGGCACGGCACACGAGGAGGTGGGTGGCCAGCACCACGCACGGCCGCCTTTGTTTCCCTAGTGGCGATGTTTGCACACTGTCACTGGGTACTCGTTTGAGGCTGAGTCGACCTAGGGGCGGCCCAGAACCAATTCAGACAATCGTCACTGGTGTTGACCGTGAGCAGGAATCGAACTCCGGGTCGCCGGGTTCGTAGCGCAGCGCGCTAACCACTGCACCACCGCTCCCCACACAACACACACGCACAGGCAGACCGAAGCGCAGTCCGAACGCGGAGCCAGATGATTGACCGAAGAGGAGCGATGTGGGGAGGGAGGGGAGAGCCAACAGAGACAGAGAGAGGAGAGAGAGGAGTTGAGCTGAAACGCAGAGAGGGTAAAATGACCGAGAGAGAGAGCGAGCGAGCACTGGAGAGAGAGAGAGGAGGAGGAGGAGGGGGAGCTGTGTGAATGCGAGAGAGAGAGACAAAGGTGGTAGGGACGGAGAGATTTTATCGTGCGTGGGATGCGAAGCAATAAATAAATAAATGGGATTCGGCGACGAGAGAGTGGAGGGATGGAGGTGATTCAAGCTCGGCCTGCAGCGCTGCACTGCCTACGCTGATCAGCGACTTGTACACATTGACGATCCAAGCACACACACAGTACACATGCAGTGTACACACAGTACACATGCAGTGTACGCACAGTACACATGCAGTATACACAGTACACATGCAGTGTACACACGGTACACATGCAGTGTACACACAGTACACATGCAGTATACACACGGTACACATGCAGTATAAACACAGTGCACATGCAGTATACACACAGTACACAAGCAGTGTACACACAGTGAACATGCAGTGTACACACAGTACACAAGCAGTATACACACAGTACACATGCAGTGTACACACAGTACACATGCAGTATACACACAGTACACATGCAGTGTACACACAGTACACATGCAGTATACACACAGTGCACATGCAGTATACACACGGAACACAATGTACACACAGTGCACACGCAGTATACACACAGTTCACATGCAGTGTACACAGTACACATGCAGTACACACACAGTACACAGACAGTACACATGCAGTGTACACACAGTACACATGCTGTACACACAGTGCAAAAGCAGTGTACACACAGTACACATGCAGTACACATGCAGTGTACACATACGGTACACATGCAGTGTACTCACAGTACACATGCAGTGTACACACAGTACACATGCAGTGCACACACAGTGCAAAAGCAGTGTACACACAGTACACATGCAGTGTACAGACAGTACACATGCAGCAAATACACATAGTACACATGCAATATACACACAGTACACATGCAGTGTACAGACAGTACACATGCAGTGTAGACACAGTACACATGCAGTATACACAGTACACATGCAGTATACACACAGTACACATGCAGTACATATACGGTACACATGCAGTGTACACACAGTGCACCTGCAGTACACATGCAGTACACATGCAGGGTACACACAGTGCAAAAGCAGTGTACACACAGTACACATGCAGTGTACAGATAGTACACATGCAGCAAATACACATAGTACACATGCAATATACACACAGTACACATGCAGTGTACACACAGTACACATGCAGTGTACACACAGTGCACATGCAGTATACACACGGAACACAATGTACACACAGTGCACACGCAGTATACACACAGTTCACATGCAGTGTACACAGTACACATGCAGTACACACACAGTACACAGACAGTACACATGCAGTGTACACACAGTACACATGCTGTACACACAGTGCAAAAGCAGTGTACACACAGTACACATGCAGTACACATGCAGTGTACACATACGGTACACATGCAGTGTACTCACAGTACACATGCAGTGTACACACAGTACACATGCAGTGTACACACAGTGCAAAAGCAGTGTACACACAGTACACATGCAGTGTACAGACAGTACACATGCAGCAAATACACATAGTACACATGCAATATACACACAGTACACATGCAGTGTACAGACAGTACACATGCAGTGTAGACACAGTACACATGCAGTATACACAGTACACATGCAGTATACACACAGTACACATGCAGTACATATACGGTAAACATGCAGTGTACACACAGTGCACCTGCAGTACACATGCAGTACACATGCAGGGTACACACAGTGCAAAAGCAGTGTACACACAGTACACATGCAGTGTACAGATAGTACACATGCAGCAAATACACATAGTACACATGCAATATACACACAGTACACATGCAGTGTACACACAGTGCAAATGCAGTGTACACACAGTGCAAATGCAGTGTACACATGGAGTATACACACAGTACACATGCAGTACACACAGTGCACATGCAGGTTACACACAGTGCACATGCAGTGTACACACGGTACACATGCAGTTTACACACAGTACACAAGCAGTATACACACAGTGCACATGCAGTACAGACACAGTGTACATGCAGTGTACACACAGTACACATATATACACACAGTACACATGCAGCAAATACACACTGTGCACATGCAGTATACACACAGTGCACATGCAGTATACACACAGTACACAAGCAGTGTACACACGGTACACATGCAGTGTACATACAATGCACATGCAGCATACACACAGTACACATGCAGTATACACACGGAACACATGCAGTATACACACGGTACACATGCAGTGTACACACAGTACACATGCAGTATACACACGGTACACAAGCAGTGTACACACAGTACACATGCAGTATACACACGGTACACATGCAGTGTACACACAGTACACATGCAGTGTACACACAGTGCACATGCAGTATACACACGGAACACAATGTACACACAGTGCACACGCAGTATACACACAGTTCACATGCAGTGTACACAGTACACATGCAGTACACACACAGTACACATGCAGTACACATGCAGTGTACACATACGGTACACATGCAGTGTGCACACAGTACACATGCAGTGTACACACAGTACACATGCTGTACACACAGTGCAAAAGCAGTGTACACACAGTACACATGCAGTACACATGCAGTGTACACACAGTACACATGCAGTGTACACACAGTACACATGCAGTGTACACACAGTGCAAAAGCAGTGTACACACAGTACACATGCAGTGTACAGACAGTACACATGCAGCAAATACACATAGTACACATGCAATATACACACAATACACATGCAGTGTACAGACAGTACGCATGCAGTGTAGACACAGTACACATGCAGTATACACAGTACACATGCAGTATACACACAGTACACATGCAGTACATATACGGTACACATGCAGTGTACACACAGTGCACCTGCAGTACACATGCAGTACACATGCAGGGTACACACAGTGTAAAAGCAGTGTACACACAGTACACATGCAGTGTACAGATAGTACACATGCAGCAAATACACATAGTACACATACAATATACACACAGTACACATGCAGTGTACACACAGTGCAAATGCAGTGTACACACAGTGCACATGCAGTATACACAGTACACATGCAGTGTACACACAGTACACATGCAGCGTACACACAGTGCAAATGCAGTACACACAGTACACATGCAGTGTACAAACAGTGCACATGCAGTGTACACATGCAGTATACACACAGTACACATGCAGTACACACAGTGCACATGCAGTATACACACAGTGCACATGCAGTGTACACACGGTACACATGCAGTTTACACACAGTACACAAGCAGCATACACACAGTGCACATGCAGTACAGACACAATGTACATGCAGTGTACACACAGTACACATGTATACACACAGTACACATGCAGCAAATACACACTGTGCACATGCAGTATACACACAGTGCACATGCAGTATACACACAGTACACAAGCAGTATACACACAGTACACATGCAGTGTACACACAGTCCACAAGCAGTATACACACAGTACACATGCAGTGTACACACGGTACACATGCAGTGCACATACAGTGCACATGCAGTATACACACAGTACACATGCAGTATACACACGGTACACATGCAGTATACACACGGTACACAAGTAGTGTACACACAGTACACATGCAGTATACACACGGTACACATGCAGTGTACACACAGTACACATGCAGTATACACACGGTACACAAGCAGTGTACACACAGTACACATGCAGTATACACACGGTACACATGCAGTGTACACACAGTACACATGCAGTGTACACACAATACACATGCAGTGTACATACGGTACACAAGCAGTATACACACGGTACACATGCAGTATACACACAGTACACATGCAGTATACACACAGTACACATGCAGTGTACACACGGTACACATGCAGTGTACACACAGTACACATGCAGTACACACACAGTACACATGCAGTGTACACACGGTAAACATGCAGTGTACACACGGTACACATGCAGTATACACACAGTACACATGCAGGGTACACACAGTGCACATGCAGTGTACACACAGTACACATGCAGTATACACACAGCGCACATGCAGTAAACACACAGTGCACATGCAGTATACACACAGTGTACATGCAGTATACACACGGTACACATTCAGTGTACTCACAGTGCACACGCAGTATACACACAGTTCACATGCAGTGTACGCAGTACACATGCAGTATACACACAGTACACATGCAGTACACATGCAATGTACACACTGAACACATGCAGTATACACACAGTACACTTGCAGTGTACACACGGTACACATGCAGTATACACAGTACACATGCAGTATACACACAGTACACATGCAGTGTCCACACGGTACACATGCAGTATACACAGAGTACACATGCAGTGTACACACAGTACACATGCAGTATACACAAAGTGTACATGCAGTGTACACACAGTACACATGCAGTGTACACACAGTGCACTTGCAGTGTACACACAGTGCACATGCAATACACACACGGTACACATGCAGTGTACACACAGTGC